AAATTAAACGGTTTACCATACAACAATCTGGAACAAAACAAGCCAGCTTGGCTCACACTTACAAGGACGGCACAGATGTCCTTGTACATGCTATGGGGGCTGCTGTACATTTGATGGTTGAACAAGTTGCTGGGAACATCCTCCCATTCCATGAATGCCATGCATGCATTGAGGGCGTTCCTGGAGACCTGGGCCAAGGGAGGAAAGATGGTGTCAGATAAGCCGCTTCTGATTTTGTCCATGTTCCGCAGAGAAAACCCAGCCTCCTCCTTGCTCGGGAGATGGGAAAGCAGAGGAGCTACTCCGGGACTCAGAGATGGCCGGGCAAGGGGGCAGGGATGACCACAGATGCTCCGTCCTGAAAGGAGACCCCCCTCGACATCTCCAACAGGGTGACGGACAAGCTACCCAGGTGCCCAATCTCTCTACAGGTAGTCCTCGACTTACAATCGCCATGGAGCCCAAAATGTCTATTATTAAGCGAGACAGTTGTTAAGTGAGCTTTGCCCCATTTGATGACCTTTCTTCCCGCAATTGTTGAGCGAATCTCCGCAGGGGTCAAGCTAGTAGCAGAGCCATTAAGGGAATCTGGCTTCCCCAGGGACTATGCTTGTCAGAAGGGGGCCAAAGAGGCTCACGTGAACCTGTTTACACATAAGTGCCTAATGAGGGAAATAACTAACAGGCAGAAAACAACATTCCCACCAACACTGAAATGGCCAACCACTTCTGCTTAAAGAGAGACACCACGTCCTTCTAGCACTGATGATGTTATCAAGTTGGGTCATAAAATGTCTGCAAGAAAATAACCAAGCTCAGAGAGCACCAAGGACCCCACCAAGGCCTCCTCCTCCTCCTCCCCCCCTCCCCCCCTCTCCACAAACCCCACTCCATGCTACCACTGATGATGTTTCCCAGTTGGGTAAGGAAAGGTCTACAAGAAAAAGAGCCAAGCTCAGAGAGCACCAAGGCCCCCACAGTTCTACCCAGCTCTTCAACTCACTTCTTTGGTCTGACCGTCTGAAAGTTGGATCAATAATGGAACAAGGCTCTGCATGATGTTCACTGTGATATTATTGTTTTCTATAAGGTTCAGCCCTTTCAAGAGAAGGCCGAAAATAGAGATGGAATTATTTCGCAGTTCGGTGTCTTCCTACGAAGGAAGAGAAACAGATGAGTCCCTCCAATAGGTGAAAATCAATGTAGCTCAGTGCTCAACTGTCGGGTTCTTGGTGTGGTTAGTGGTGGCCAGGCTTAGAAGGATCTTTACGTTTTCAGGAGAACAACACACAAGTTCAGAGCATACCAAGTTCCCAAGAGGTTTTGACTTTCTCCATCTTGGTCTCCTGCTTCATTTGTTTGAGTCTCCAGGCCTTTAATCATCCTAGTTGCTCTTCTTTGCACTTTTCCCAAAGTCTCAACCCATTTGGGGACCAAAATTGGATTGAGTATTCCAGATGTGGCAGTACTTAAGGTTTTTACAAAGCAGTACTAATACCAACACTGGCACTAACACTAATATTAATATGTGATTTTGATTCGCTGCCTGTTTATGCAATCAAGGACTGTGTTGGCTTTTTGGGGCTGCTGCCACACTCGACTGGCTCATGTTTGAGTAATCGTCCACTTGGTTAAAACCTTACTCTTCTCCACATGAAATGCCATGTTCTTGGAGAGAGCCCATTGTTCAAGTCTGTCAAGATCTTTTGGGATCCAAAGCTCATCTTCTGGGGTTTTGGTTATTCCTGCCAGTTTAGTGCCATCTGCAAATTTGATGAGCTCCCCTTCTATTCCCTCCTCTAAGCCATCTTCCAGGTAGGTTGAATTGCAACATCCTTTGATGTCCTAGGCTGGATGGACTGTATCAGGGGTGGGATTATACAAGTTCGCACCTAGAACCAGTTGTTAACATTCTAAGCAGTTTGCAGAACCAATTGTTAGAAGAAATTACTGGCCTAATCCTGTAAGGAAGGCAGGAAGGAAACATTCTGGGGTTGCTTACAGAAACTGCCTCTCCGTTAACCCTTATTACATTCTTGGCAGGACTAGACTTCCTGTCTCAGGAACTTCTCTGGAGTTTTTTTTCCCTTCCTTTGCTGGTACTTTGCTTGTGTGGAGTGACCATTCAAAGTTACAATGGCACTGGAAAAAGTGACTTATGACCATTTTTCACACTTACGACTGTTGCAGCATCCCCACAGTCATGAGAGGCCAGGCGAGGAGATGCGTGCCTCAATGTGAGTGATGTTGAGTTGGCCACACCCAGCCAATAACATGACCACCAAGCCACGTCCACCCAGTCACATGACCACCAAGCCACACCCACCACTTAAGCTACGCCCACAGAACCGGTTGTTAAAAAATTTGAATCCCACCCCTGGACTGTATCCTCCAGAACCGAAGGGCATCCAAGTGTCTTTAACTGAAAATGAGACGAACGTGGACTCCTCAAGTGAAAGTTCTCATGCTCACCTGGGACCCACTTGTCCAAGCAAACTTGGGGAGATCTTTGAGGCCACCCAATGGCTGTGAACTCTCCTAGAGAGACACCCCTGATCTTACTTTCTTTTCTAGCATCCTATAAACTCTACTATTTTTTGTGTCCCGCACATTGAGGAGAGCTTGGCTCAAATGACATCCTTCAGGTATTTCCAAAATACGATCATATCCCCTTGGTTAAACGTCTGGTGATTCTCAAACATCCACATCATGGTTGCCCCGAAGGTGCTTTTCCCAAAAAGCAAGGGGACTTTTTGGTTTTCTTTTTTCCTTTGAAAACGTTTTTCTTCTCACCCAAGAAGCTTCTTCCGTTCAGAACTTCACCCAAGCTTCTTGGATGAGAGGTGAAACATTTTCAAAGAAAACACTAAGAAAGTCCAGGTGCCTTTCAGGAAAAGGACCTGAATGATTGAGAAACTCCAGAGACGTAGATATTCTCAGGGTCACCTCTTCCCAGTTCAATGTCCATGGAGATGGTCCATCATCCAGGTCATGGTTGCCCCAAGATGTTTTTAAAAAAGGCAACTGGACTTTGTTTTTCCATGAAGATGTTCACTTCTCACTTCTCACTCAAGAAGCTTCTTCAGTTCTGCCTGAATGGTGGAGGGTGGAAGGATTTATATTCCTTGCAGTCATCTGCTCGTTACTGCTAAAGATAAACTGCCAATGACCAGATGACGACAGGAATATTCTTCCTTCCATCCTCCACCGTTCAGCGAGGATGGCTGTCCACTTAGATGTACTGTTAATGACTACTCTGGACATGATTATCAACCCAACTATGTATCTGTTTAATTATCCCAAAGGTGCTTTTTCCAAAGACAAAAGATTTTGTTGTTCCTTGAAGAGGTTTCCCTCTTTGAACTGAAGTAGCTTCTTGGATGAGAAGTGAAATGTCTTCAAGGAAAAATGAATTATTTTTTCTTTGGAAAAAGCACCTTTGGGACAGCCATGGTCTGGATGACTGACCATCTCTTCAGATATATCTGTTTACTCATGCAAGAAACCAAGTGAGATGAGCCTGGCAATTGTTCATCTTGACAGTTCCATGCTAATCGTTGGCAATTGCTGTAAAATGTTTGCAGATCAACCTCTACGGTATGATGTAGGCTGCTGTTTTTCAATCTGAGCAGCTTTAAGATGTGGGGACTTCAACTCCTGGAGTCCTCCAGCCAGCAGAGTTGAAGGCCACACATCTTAAAGGGTCTGAGACCAAGCAACACCCCTCTAGATTGGGTTTAGATATGGAGAGCGAGGGGGTGGTGGTGTTTCTAGATAGGGTGCCTGGTCTTCTAGATTTTCTAGACTGGCACATGCTTTGGCGAAGCTGAAGAGAGAGGCAACCTTCATTCT